TCAGTTGTGAGGTTGAAAAGAAATATCCTCTGCCCTTTAAGCTGTCGTCTCTGGTATCGCTTGTGCTTTTCAATATGATGATTGACTGCAGAAAAGGAAAGTTGTTTTACTGATACATCTATGATGTGAAATCGCAAGGTAGTTTTTTCTTTTTTACCCAAATTTTACTTTCCGCCTGTTACAGAAACAAATGAGGCATTATAGATCAAATTTGGTCAGTTAAAACTCACAGCCAAAACATTTCATAGAGAAAACAATCCCTAGAAAAATGGATAATGTCCTGGCAGAAAAGTTTACGGGCATTTCCTTCTACCTTAATCACAGTAAAATGTGAGGCGTTCTTCAAAATGCGTGTAAAACACCTGTGAAAATACAGAAAATTACTTTATATAAATTTATTTTAACACAGAACTTTGAGACTTTTCTTTGAGAGTTACATTTTACTTTATGAGTCATCAATATTGTTATGAATACTTAATGTTAAAACTCTTCAGAATTACAGTACAAACTCTTAAAAAAAATCACAGAGCAGGATTTCTCTTAGGACATATCCTTGACTTATGTGTCACCCAGGGAATAATGTCCGTGTTGGTGGCGGTGCACCCTGATCAGTGAGTGGCGCTTGCTTTCCCAGAACACATCAGACGACCCATCACTCCTCATGCTTTCATCTTAATTACAGAAGCTCCTGTGAACACATCTGCAGCTTCTCTTTGATTGAGTCTGGAACCCATGATGGGCTTGTCTGATCTTCTGGCATCCATGAGAACTGCTTTTAGTTTTATGGATGCAGTAATAATATTTGTTCTTTAAGTCTAAAAGCGAGTGATCTGCCTTCCTAGAGGGCGTTCTGCGGCATCACACACACATGAAAGCTGTTCCCAAAGGAAAGCGAGGTATTCTGCCTTCTACGGCTCCTCGTGTTGGCCAGCTTCTAAAGATGCCATGCACGATATATCGGCCACCATATCGGTATCGGCCGATATATGTTTATTTCGGCCCAATAAAAAAATCTGTCCGATATATTAAAGTCGATAAATAATGGATTATTTCCTTCAGCTGACACACTTCAGATGCGCACTGTTCAACATGATGGGTTTGAATTGCTTAAAATATGATTGGAATCACTTCAAAAAGGAAAATACAGTAAAGTGCAACACTAGTCTGTCATATAGTCTACATAAAATGATAACAAGAACATTGTAATTGTGTGCTTGGGACATGGATTGATGTAATCAGGCTCTCAGAAATTATATAAAAAATCGGATTTCTATTTATTGGCCAATATATTGGTTATCGGCTTTCAAATATAAAGAATTATCGGTTATCAGTATCGGCCAATAATGTTATGTGCTGACAGTCCCTCCAAGTCTAAATAAACCAACATGTTCCTCCAGTAACTCCAACAGTGCACTGAACCGAGACATGTTGTGCTGAGAGAACCGATGAGCACGAGCAGCCGACACTGAGCATGCGTGTACCTACTACTCTACTATAGCAGAGGGGCGGAGCTTCAGATTCCAGAGAGCATTTGATTGGACAGAAGATGTGATGAGAAGCTGAAGTCCGCGATGATGTCATAAAAATCCCGATCCATTTTAGCGGAAGTGAGAGACTGTAAGTTTTGAATGCTATCTCCTAAACGCGAATCAAGTCGTTGTTTTGGGACACACCATCAGCTTATTCATAACCTAAAGGCTAAAAAACGTAAAGTTTTATTTCAGGGGGCCTTTGAGGCAGCATTTTAACCCTTGCTGAGAAATCATTCCCAGAATGCATCAAAATAAGCTCACTGATGTTTAATTACAGAATGAATCAAGAGAAATGATGACATATTTCCTTTATTAGCAAAAATAGCTTCCAGGCTAAGCCACTCAATCTTACTATACTTCCCAATATTTGTGTGAATAGACCGTATACAGCAAGGCATCTGTCGAGGGTTTGGGACAGAGCACAGTCACTGGGCTCCGCAAGTGAACATTGCGCCAATATTCAATTTTAATGATAATCAATTAACCTTTCAAGACAGAGCTACTATAAGCTCTGCGAGGGTTGATGCTTTCCTTCATTAAACTCTTCGATGTTCCTATTCCCTTTGGATCCGGTTGGTTGGGTTCATAGTATAGTTTGATGAGAGGACTCAAGATGGCTGAAGATGTGGGTGATCACGGTTCCTCAGTTGCTTATCCGTCAGTATTGTACATCAAGTGTTTGTGTTGGTTTTAACAGAATTTATTATAGTTGTCTTATCTGCAGTATCGTATAGCCTATTGTAGAGAATTATGGAAAACTTTGATGTGGTGGTGATCTTTAAGGGGCAGTTTGTTGAATGTGATTGGCTGAATGGGCTGGTTTGGTGTTATGTGTTATGTAAGATTTATTTTGGAATTTATTTGTTTTGCTGGTCACCAGTGAGATAGGAGACTGGAAGCACATGCTATGAGTCGAATGTCATGATTTAACTCAGAGACCGTGCATAAGCAGTGAGAGAGTGAGAGAGTGAGAGAGTGAGAGAGAGTGAGAGAGTGAGAGAGTGAGAGAGTGTGTGAGTGTGTGAGTGTGTGAGTGTGTGAGTGTGTGAGTGTGTGAGTGTGTGAGTGTGTGAGTGTGTGAGTGTGTGAGTGAGAGAGTGAGAGAGTGAGAGAGAGAGTGAGAGTGAGAGAGAGTGAGAGTGAGAGAGAGAGTGAGAGTGAGAGAGAGTGAGAGTGAGAGAGAGAGTGAGAGAGTGAGAGAGTGAGAGTGAGTGAGTGAGTGAGTGAGTGAGTAAATGAGTGAGAGTGTGAGAGTGTGAGTGAGTGAGAGTGTGAGTGAGTGAGTGTGTGTGAGTGTGTGAGTGTGTGAGTGAGAGAGTGAGAGAGTGAGAGAGTGAGAGAGTGAGTGAGTGAGTGAGTGAGTGAGTGAGTGAGTGAGTGAGAGAGTGAGAGAGTGAGAGAGTGAGAGAGTGAGAGAGTGAGAGAGAGTGAGAGAGTGAGAGAGTGAGAGAGTGAGTGTGAGAGAGTGAGAGAGTGAGTGAGTGAGTGAGTGAGTGAGTGAGTAAATGAGTGAGAGTGTGAGAGTGTGAGTGAGTGAGAGTGTGAGTGAGTGAGTGTGTGTGAGTGTGTGAGTGTGTGAGTGAGAGAGTGAGAGAGTGAGAGAGTGAGAGAGTGAGAGAGTGAGTGAGTGAGTGAGTGAGTGAGTGAGAGAGTGAGAGAGTGAGAGAGTGAGAGAGTGAGAGAGTGAGAGAGAGTGAGAGAGTGAGAGAGTGAGAGAGTGAGTGTGAGAGAGTGAGAGAGTGAGTGTGTGAGAGTGAGTGAGTGAGTGAGTGAGTGAGTGAGTGTGTGAGTGAGTGAGTGTGTGAGTGTGTGAGTGTGTGAGTGAGTGAGTGTGAGAGTGTGAGTGTGTGTGTGAGAGAGTGAGTGAGTGAGTGAGTGAGTGAGTGAGTGAGTGAGTGAGTGAGTGAGTGAGTGAGTGAGTGAGTGAGTGTGTGAGTGTGTGAGTGTGTGAGTGAGTGAGTGAGATAATTGCTGCAAAATATGTCTCCTCATGCCATGAAATGAGGACAACCAGTGGAACCTCAGATGAATAAATAATTGTACAAATTTTCAAATAATTATTATTTTGATTGTTTGATATTTTAGTAATTGTTTTATTTTATTTTTTATTGTTCACTTTTATTTATCTATATGTTTGTTTATGTCTATTGCTTTGGCAATATTGTGCTATTGTACACATTCATGCCAATAAAGCTGAATTGAATTGAATTGTGAGTGAGAGAGAGTGTGTGTGTGTTCTCTCCAGACTCTTATATGACTGTCCTATATAGATATGATAAAGCACAGTGCTGATTGTGTTGGATTGTCAGTGAACACACACTGAAAGCTTTGATGATAACAGTGCTTGTCTTCATGTTTTGCATGTTCTACATGATTTCGGTCCTGAATCTTGATAGTTGTCTAGCAGTCTTTTTAGTGCTATAAGAGTTGAGATTGTAAGGAATGAACATTGTGGGCTAAAACCACCAGTTGATTGACTTTTTCGTGTCATGGCCCATAAAGGTTGTGGTTATATGGCCGTTTACAGAAGCCTCCACATCTCGGCTCAAGAGGGTCCCATAGCTCCTCGAAACCCTGTCCTCGAGCAGACCCCCAGTGTTGACCAGCACTCCACACACACTACACACACTGCCAGGGTTCATTAACACTGGGGGTTGCTGATTTCAAGGTACATGAACATGTATAAAGTATTTTGCACATTCTTGTTTCTTAGACTTGAAACTTCAAATGTAAGGATCAAGATTGTTAAAAGCGTTATTTTTGGATCAGTCTATAATGATTTTACTTGTTCTGGGGTCCCTGTGTCGGTAGAGTGCACGCAGAATATTTCAGGGTTGAGTGTTGTCTGACCGTGTGTGTGAGAGAGTTGAAGGGTTTGGACTTGATCATCTGTGAGGGACTGAAGCTGAACTCTTCACAGATGTAAGTCCTCTATGACACAGTTATGTTGAAAGGCCTACTTTAGTTGTGCTTAGTTTTACAGTAATTCTGTTTGTTTGCTATAGTTACTGCTCACTGATGAGGGTTAAAACACTGATTCTGGACCAGGACTTGTGGACCGTGTGGCTGAAGGCCAGGAACTCTGTGCTCAAACGCCGGCACATATGACTGATGGATCATTATCACAGACAGACAGGTCATCGAGTTTCTGTAGCTAGAAGCCTTTATTTCACACACGTGCACAGAGTGAGTGAGTTTCACCCTAGCATGTCTCTCAGCGCTGATGTCAGAATGAGTCAGAGACGTCTCCGGAAGCCAAAGACTCGCAGAAACCTGTCCATCCCAGTGTAGACAGCTCTGCCTCACATCATATGATCCTGTGTGTGTGTGTGTGTGCAGGAGCCCAGCACAGGTGTGAGGTGTTCATCAGTGTGTGTGTGTGTAGGAGCCCAGCACAGGTGTGAGGTGTTCATCAGTGTGTGTGAGGTGTTCATCAGTGTGTGTGTGTGTGTGTGTGTGTGTGTGCAGGAGCCCAGCACGAAGCGTGTGAAGCCTCTGTCTCGAGTGACGTCTCTGGCGAGCCTCATTCCTCCAGTTAAAGCTGCTCCGCTGAAGCGCATTGGACAGACCCTGCAGGTACTGCTCTCCCGCACTCACTCTTCATCCGAGTCAGTCATGCTTCGTCTTTCAAGGCTCTTCAGGATATGTGCTATTGTAATAAAAATAAATACAATTTTACCTTTATAATGGCATTTTCTTAGTCTTACTCAATCAGAATAATAAGACACTGTTACCAATATAATGAAAGCAGTATAAACACAAATCCATCCTTGCACTGCAGAAGATGCAGTCGTGGCTTATTCGTGATTCGTTTAAATGACTGATTAATTCAGTAAGTGAATCATTGATTAAACTGATTTGCTCAAAACAGACTCGTTCAGGAATAAAGCTCTGCTATGTGTTGCTCGGAGACGCAGAACAGTTCTGCTGTGCTTTCGTTTAGACATTTTATTGACAAAATAAAGCAAAAAGACTCAAGATGTTAACTCATTGTCAAGTCAAACAGCACTTTTGCTCATGTGATATTGCTTAACTATATCTTTTGATGTAAGACTGGACTTGCGTGGGGAAAACGGCCCAGTATATTACACTACACATTTTAACAGCATTAAAGTAGCTACATCAGGCAGTGAAAGCCTCACACTCACTGTGTGTCCGGGTCGTTCTAAACCACGGGTCATTCTAAACCCCGGGTCATTCTAAACCCCGGGTCGTTCTAAACCCCGGGTCGTTCTAAACCATGGGTCGTTCGAAACCACGGGTCATTCTAAACCCCGGGTCGTTCTAAACCCCGGGTCGTTCTAAACCCCGGGTCGTTCTAAACCATGAGTAGTTCTAAACCACGAGTAGTTCTAAACCACGGGTCGTTCTAAACCCCGGGTCGTTCTAAACCATGGGTCGTTCTAAACCACGGGTCATTCTAAACCCCGGGTCGTTCTAAACCCCGGGTCGTTCTAAACCCCGGGTCGTTCTAAACCCCGGGTCGTTCTAAACCATGAGTAGTTCTAAACCACGGGTCGTTCTAAACCACGGGTCATTCTAAACCCCGGGTCATTCTAAACCACGGGTTGTTCTAAACCGGTCGTTCTAAACTATGGGTCGTTCTAAACCCCGGGTCGTTCTAAACCCCAGGTCGTTCTAAACCATCAGTAGTTCTAAACCACGAGTAGTTCTAAACTATGGGTCGTTCTAAACCATGGGTTGTTCTAAACCATCAGTAGTTCTAAACCACGGGTCGTTCTAAACCCCGGGTCGTTCTAAACCCCGGGTCGTTCTAAACCGGTCGTTCTAAACCGGTCGTTCTAAACTATGGGTCGTTCTAAACTATGGGTCGTTCTAAACCCCGGGTCGTTCTAAACCCCGGGTCGTTCTAAACCCCGGGTCGTTCTAAACCCCGGGTCGTTCTAAACCCCGGGTCTTCTAAACCCCGGGTCTTCTAAACCCCGGGTCGTTCTAAACCCCGGGTCGTTCTAAACTATGGGTCGTTCTAAACCCCGGGTCTTCTAAACCCCGGGTCGTTCTAAACCCCGGGTCGTTCTAAACTATGGGTCGTTCTAAACCCCGGGTCTTCTAAACCCCGGGTCGTTCTAAACCCCGGGTCGTTCTAAACTATGGGTCGTTCTAAACCCCGGGTGTTCTAAACCCCGGGTCGGTCTAAACCCCGGGTCGTTCTAAACTATGGGTCGTTCTAAACCCCGGGTCGTTCTAAACCACGGGTCGTTCTAAACCCCGGGTCGTTCTAAACTATGGGTCGTTCTAAACCCCGGGTCGTTCTAAACCCCGGGTCGTTCTAAACCCCGGGTCGTTCTAAACCCCGGGTCGTTCTAAACCACGGGTCGTTCTAAAGCCCGGGTCGTTCTAAACCTCGGGTCGTTCTAAACCTCGGGTCATTCTAAACTATGGGTCGTTCTAAACCCCGGGTCGTTCTAAACCACGGGTCGTTCTAAACCCCGGGTCGTTCTAAACTATGGGTCGTTCTAAACCCCGGGTCGTTCTAAACCCCGGGTCGTTCTAAACTATGGGTCGTTCTAAACCCCGGGTCGTTCTAAACCCCGGGTCGTTCTAAACCCCGGGTCGTTCTAAACCCCGGGTCGTTCTAAACCCCGGGTCGTTCTAAACCCCGGGTCGTTCTAAACCCCGGGTCGTTCTAAACCACGGGCCGTTCTAAACCCCGGGTCGTTCTAAACTATGGGTCGTTCTAAACCCCGGGTCGTTCTAAACCCCGGGTCGTTCTAAACCCCGGGTCGTTCTAAACCCCGGGTCGTTCTAAACCACGGGTCGTTCTAAAGCCCGGGTCGTTCTAAACCTCGGGTCGTTCTAAACCTCGGGTCATTCTAAACTATGGGTCGTTCTAAACCCCGGGTCGTTCTAAACCCCGGGTCGTTCTAAACCACGGGTCGTTCTAAACCCCGGGTCGTTCTAAACTATGGGTCGTTCTAAACCCCGGGTCGTTCTAAACCCCGGGTCGTTCTAAACTATGGGTCGTTCTAAACCCCGGGTCGTTCTAAACCCCGGGTCGTTCTAAACCCCGGGTCGTTCTAAACCCCGGGTCGTTCTAAACCCCGGGTCGTTCTAAACCCCGGGTCGTTCTAAACCACGGGCCGTTCTAAACCCCGGGTCGTTCTAAACTATGGGTCGTTCTAAACCCCGGGTCGTTCTAAACCCCGGGTCGTTCTAAACCCCGGGTCGTTCTAAACCCCGGGTCGTTCTAAACCCTGGGTCGTTCTAAACCATGGGTCGTTCTAAACCCCGGGTCGTTCTAAACCCCGGGTCGTACTAAACCCCGGGTCGTTCTAAACCCCGGGTCGTTCTAAACCCCGGGTCGTTCTACACCCCGGGTCGTTCTAAACCCCGGGTCGTTCTAAACCCCGGGTCGTTCTAAACCCCGGGTCGTTCTACACCCCGGGTCGTTCTAAACCCCGGGTCGTTCTAAACCCCGGGTCGTTCTAAACCCCGGGTCGTTCTAAACCCCGGGTCGTTCTACACCCCGGGTCGTTCTAAACCCCGGGTCGTTCTAAACCCCGGGTCGTTCTAAACCCCGGGTCGTTCTAAACCCCGGGTCGTTCTAAACCCCGGGTCGTTCTAAACCCCGGGTCGTTCTAAACCCCGGGTCGTTCTAAACCATGATTCCGTTTACCCGGGGATTAGAATCCCGGGTATTCATAAGCTGACGTTTCCCACTGTACATCGCTAACTCCCAGTTTTCCCGTTCTCCCTGTTCAGCGCTCCATCAGTTTCCGCAGTGACTGCCGCCCGGAGATCATGGCCCCGCGGCAGATCCCGCCAGCCGTCACCAAGCGCCGCGACAGCAAGCTGTGGAGCGAGACCTTTGACCTAGGCCTGGGACACATGCTGTCCTCCAGAGACATCAAGAGACAAGAGGTGACCTCACCACACTCCAGACCATACTCTACTCTGATTGGCTAGGGCTGGATTTTGATATACTGTATTTCTCACCGTATTTGAGCTAAAAGACTGGTTTAGAAAAACATATTCAGTCTACGAAGAATCTCTTGAATGTTGAATGTTCCTCATTCTAGGCTCTCTGTACTCTATTTTCAATATTTCACAATTCTTGTTACACAGTCCTTTATATAGAAGTTAATATAAATATCAACAAATTAATTTAAAACAATTGCATTTAGCCTTCAGGTACTTCTTAATTGAATTAACATATAATTAGCCTAAAACTGAATTGAATAGTTTTAAGCAAATGTCAAGCAACATTATAAATAAAAACAACATAGCACAGATGCTAAGTAAACAGAGCTGTTCCTAAAATACAGAAGTATACTGACATTTTGAACAATACCCGTTCTTGTCTTAGGACAACTTCTTTGATACATTTTTTTGATCCACTTCAAATGTTGACTATTGTATATTTTAACTGTTCACTATTGGTTATGTGCTGCTAAATAACAACTAAAAATTAAACATCTTGTTCACAGACTAGCCAATTCTAGGCATTGACTGGCCAGTTCGATTCAACATCAGTCTTTCAGGGAGATCGGGCCATTAAATAGCTTTCAGTTGTCTTTGTCACGTGTGGCTTAACTGATACTGATAGATCAAGTTCAAGTTTATTTATATAGCACTTTTACAACAGCCACTGGGCTGACAAAAGTGCTTTACAGAACAACACGATTAAAAGAAGATATAAGAGCAACATGGCTAAGAGTAACCATAAACCAATAGATGCTAAAGCTGTTGACATTTGAGTGCACTGATATGCATACTGGCATCAGTGTCTAGCCCAGTGCGGCACTCATCCACATGTACTGGAAACCATGGTGAAAAACACTGACAACAGAGCCAGCAGAGATCAGGATGGAGATATCCGAGATTAAGGATGTCTATGATGTAAATGTATCTAATTAATAGAGTATTAACAGAAGCGTTCCACTATTCACATCTGTAAAGCTGCTGTGGTTTTAAGTTTGTAGTTAAATTGTTTGTTCGGATATTTCAGTAGCACAGAAAGTAGCAGTTCACTCACTCACTCAACACACACACACAGATTAGTTGGATGGATTAAAGTAAATCGTATATGTAAGTAAAACATGAACTGTTAGCTGATGTACAGCAAGTGGATCCCTACATTATCACAGGAAAGCGGCATGTGCCGTACCGCTGCACTGGAGCGGCTCTAGATGTGTGTCGTGCTGTTACATGAAAGATAAATTACCATAGAACAGTGAAAGTTAACAGGCATAGTTAAGCATGAAAATGACTTCAGGATTTACTGCAGAATGTCTGCGTGCCTCTCGCTGAAGTTCCTCTCTCTGTTGTTTCTTTCCTGTCGTGTGTCAGTCCATCTTTGAGCTGTCTCAGGGAGAACAGGACCTGATTGAGGACTTGAAGCTGGCCAAGAAGGTACACTTCTCTTTCCCCATCACTTCATACAGCATGAAGACTGTTCTAGGGTCCAGCTTCACCGCTGGCTCTGGTTCTCCAGCACAGGGGTTCCCAAACCTGTCTTTGTCAGCTCAACGCCTTTGACATAAAATATTTCTCCTACCTAATATTTCCATAATTTAACACATTCTACAGTTCATTATTTAAATGATAATTAGCTTTTAATCAACTCTGATTTGGGAAGCCCTGCTCTAGCATGTGAGATTATGTGGTGTCTGTTTTCACAATCTGTTCTTAGCTTTACACTTTTCGGTAAGATTTCCACATACTTCCTCAGTCTTGCATGAGTAGATTTGAATGTTTGAGTGATTGTGTTGTTTCGCCACAGGCGTATCGTGACCCCATGCTGAAGCTGTCGATTATGGCGGAGCATGAACTCAGTCAGATCTTTGGCACGCTGGACTCCCTCATTCCCCTGCATGAAGGTGAGCAGAAGAGCATCACACACATCATGTGTGTGTGTCTGAACCAGGCGCAGTGCCGCACATTCACAGCTGGATCCGCTTATCCAAAGTGAAGAGGAAAAGACCCAATAACAGCAAATCAGAGCCCAAGTGATAAAGCCAATCATGATAACACTTATTACATGACAAGATGGAATATTGATATAAGTTTAAATTATGTTATTATGTGAGAAGACAGCACAGAAGATCACACAAATAAATGCCGGAGCATCTCAAATCAGATCCGGCCTCGCTGTTCCCACACTATATCCAAGTTGGGAATTTAACCTATGTGCAAAATTGGAATATGGCATAAAACATTTGTGAATAAACGCTGTCGTGATCTCTTGCGTTGGGATGCTGAACACACTCGTGTGTGTGAGACGCTTCTGGAGGGAATTAAACCCAGTCATTCTGATCACACACTTCAGCTCCGGCGTTTCAGAAACACCAAACCAGCATCTGAGAAGCTGCGACGCCATTGGTCCGCTGGATACTCCAGTTATCCAATCACAGCCTCAGTCAGCTGAGTTTATTGTTGCGCTTCGAGAGATTTATTCAGTAAATGTGTTTCCATCGTAGTTTATGCACGTTTTCTTATCGGATTAAAAGTTTATCCGACTCAATTTTTATGCACATTTTTAGAATTTATGCTCATCCAGCTTTTTTTTCTATGCAATATCCTAAAATGTTCAAGAAATAGGTGTATGGAAAGATAGCTAATGAGGCACAGAGTGTCTTTCCAGAACCTCCTCCTCCTCCACTCCTCTCTGGTGCTGTTATCCTCCACCTGAACTGCTAAAGAAGCAGCTAACAGACATAAATGTTGATCAATTCACATTGATAAGTCGACATGAATCACTAAATACACAATACTTTGATTGAAATATGCAAACATGTGTATAGACCTGCTGTCCTGCAGAGTTTGGCTCCACCCCTGATCAAACTCTTGCAGTGACCCTGAAGACCCTGGCTAGCTTGTTCAGGTGTTCTGGACTCTGCAGGACGGTGGCCCTCCAGACCTGATGTAGACCACTCCTTCCTCAATGTCATCGCCCACGCTGTCTCTCTCTGATCCTGCAGATTTGCTGAGTCGGCTGCGAGAGGCCAGGAAGCCGGACGGCTCGACCGATCGCGTGGGCCATATTCTAGTGGACTGGGTAAGATCCTCTCACTGCCCGTGCTGTGCTCCAGCCCTGAGTCTGATGATCATGATGAAAACACTTGAGCTGAAGGCTGGGACACACTACACATGTTCTAGATGAGTCTACACTATTGGCCAGTTCAGACACACTGTCCAGTCGCAGGATATCAAGCATGTTGGATGTTTTGAGCGCATGTTGTTTTCATTTGTCATGCGTCTCCAAGATACAAGGTGCATGTTTCTTTGTGTGAGTTTGATGTGTTTGAAACAAGTTGAAAGTCTGGTAGTGTGTGATCCTCAGTCCTTTACTGTGTGATGCCCAGTTTTTCTCTGTAACCGTTTACAAAGCAAGTGTATGATGCCCAGTGTTTTAAAATGTGTTGAGATGTGAAACGTTGTGTAGTGCAGTCCAGGCTTAGACTTTCAGCCTCGGTCCTCGAGTGCTCCTGTTAGCATGCAGGTCTGAGTTACAACCCTGCGTTGTGTCTCTTTCTGCTTTTGTCCCAAAACATTACTCTCATCATTGGCCAATCACGTGTAGTCCCATGAATAAATTCTGCACATTTGTATTATTGTATAGCACAAATGATAGAACATTTGTTTTTAATCTTTTAGTTGAGTAACCAGAAAAACCCTTGGTTACACAATCGTAATGTAAAACGGTTTATGATTTTGAGATTGGTGCTGTGCGTTTGCTGAGGGAAAGGTTTGGACTGGATCAGACGTGAGCAGGACCGTGTTCTCCAGAAGCTCATTGGTCACTGTCTTGACCACGGGACCTTACCTGGCTCTGATATCATCACACAGAACGTTAGTTCATTTCTAGTCATTAGACCATGAACTCAGTGGGAAGTTGGGTTCACATGGTTGTGAATGTCCCCCGCTGAGAGACACCGATGTGCTCACTATAAGTTTACACGATTTCAGATTCTGACATTTCTGTTAATATGAACCCTAAACATTCACATATCCGTTTACATGTGCATTACGCGCATTCATAACTGGAGAAAGCCACCGCAGTGATGTCACTGGAGCTAGCGGGAGTATAATTGTCATCTTTGCCTCGATGACCTGTCTATAAATTAAGCAGATGTTTGTCAAGAAGAGATTTTTAGCAAATATTTAGTAAATATTCAGTCTTCCAGTTCATAAGACATGAGGCATAAATAAAACATATGCATCTTCCTAAACATAAGCATCATGAAACAATGATGATAACCATGATAACAATGGCAGATTAAAGCTTGTATATGCTTTTTTTATATATATTGTTTATTCTAATTATTTCTAAATCTCATTATTTCCCACTATAAACTGATTATTTGGGTCCATGTAAATGTGGCTAATGTCTCCCAGCTGTGTGAATGAGGCTAGCAACCGCTAATCGGCTGGAGAATTGGCTAGCTAGTCAGACGTTAGCACTAAGTGTGCTGGAGGCCAGTCTGAATGCATCGACTCTCTGTATCGTTTGGGAAGTTTTAAGTTAAACTAAAGTCAAGCTAACTTGTGAAATGGTAGTTAGTTACACTGCTAGTTAGTAACACAAAGCTAACTACATTGAATCTTACCACTGTAATTTATATTAGCGTCCAAACCTCAGTGATGAACAGGCTCCAGGCGCAGGATTGGACCCCCTGTTCATGAAAATGTCTCTTTCTGCCTCACTAGCTGCCGTGTCTCGACACCTACAACAGCTACTGCAGTAACCAGGTGGCAGCCAAAGCCCTGCTGGACCATAAGAAGCAGGACCCTCGGGTGCAGGACTTCCTCCAGCGCTGCCTGGAGTCGCCCTTCAGCCGCAAACTGGACCTGTGGAGCTTCCTGGACGTCCCGCGCAGCCGCCTGGTCAAATACCCGCTGCTGCTCCGAGAGATCCTCAAACACACCCCCAACGCCCACCCCGACCAGCAGCACCTGGAGGAAGCTGTGAGTTAGTCCTGCACTGCTCTCACTCACAAACTCTTTAAAGGTGCAGTGTGTACGTTTCAGCGGCATCTAGTGGTGAGGGTGAGAATCGCACCCAACGGAAGTTACGGTGGCCGACAGGAAGTGATGTCGTCGTCTGAGACAGCAGAGAGTAGCCAGTTAAGCTATGAGGTTTCTTTACAAAGATGAATTAGGAAATTAGGTTTACTTAATTATTCAATAAATCGATGTTATTGCGAATATTATGGTGACTTGTTCATCATTGTGTCAGTGTTTTATTCGCTGACTTTAGCAGCTTCTTTACACGAAGAACAACACAGTGACGAAACGCGTGTGTCCGTTCAAGGCCACCGTAGAAACATGTCGGTGTAAGGGGACCCGCGGTGTGTGTAGACAGAAATGCTCATTGTAAGCTAATACAAACATAACGGTTCATTAAGTAAGGTCTTTATACACCACTGAAAACATAGTTATGTATATGATATTGCATTTCTGTCAACAGATCCTCCTAAATATTACACAATGGACCTTCAAATTAAAGCTTTTTTATTTATTTTATTTACTAATTTACTTTTTAAATCTAAGTAGTGTGTATTGAACTAAACAAATGTGCTAACATGACAATTTGTGCAAAATAATTAATAATAATAATAACACCAAAATAATGAAAGTCCCCCTGTGGTGTAAATCCAGCTTTTAATGTTGTTTATGTGTCTATGTGGTGTTTTTAATATGCTTAAAGACAAACCATGTGTAAGTTCATAAGTCGACAGCATTGCTGAGTATTTCCTCCTCAAAACTGCAGTGAACCAAAGACAGTCTCAAAAACACGGTTTGAAATCACACCTGTGGCGTAATGGTCTCTTTTCTGTGCTGCTCTTTGGCTTTCATAGATTAACATGATCCAGAGCATCGTGGCCGATATCAACACACAGACGGGCGAGTCGGAGTGCCGTTTCTACAAGGAACGCTTGCTGTATCTGGAAAGTGGGCAGAAAGATCTATTGATCGACAGCTCGCGGATCCTCAGCTGCCACGGAGAACTCAAGAACAACAGAGGAGCCGTAAGAACTTCTAGCATTGGTTTAGTCATTTGTCATTCAGGTGATTTGTGGAAAACACTACCCCCAAAATCTTTGTCTTTACATTCCTGAAGAGCCGAATCTTTCCGGGATAGTGGCATCAAATCTGAAGAGTATTATAAAACTTCTGTTTGGTTTGACTTGTCAACTAGATAGCGTAAGAAAAAATTATGAGGATGCTAAAGATCAATGGAGAAGTTTATTGCAGTGTAGCAGTGACAAATTACATGAGTATGAAATACTGTGGGTTCGTTGGAGCCAGAATGAACCATGAACTTCATAAACCTTTTATCCTATTACAGTTGCTCCTGCTGTAGTTCAGACATCTCACAGACATCTCACAGACATCTCACAGACATCTCAGGGTTTCACACCTGCTCCAATTCTACGTTTGCTTAGGATGTGATCCACTCAAATAATGCAGAAACAGTGAAACTGTTCACTTTGTTCTTCTCTATGGTAATTAGGCCTTTTTGATGAATGAACATGTTCATCCACCTATCTTGGAGTGGAATCTGGGTCGAGGCATTGTCATTTATTGCAATATTCATGAGCAACTGTGCTTAGCTTTCTGAGTAGGTGTGAAATATTTCAAATCCTCTCCTAAATGGCGAGTAAAAACTAAAATAAGCTGTCATTGTTGCTTTACATGTCTCTTCCAGTGCCAGTGGGTGATTCCTGGCCGTAAGTTGCTACATGAACCAAACATTTTAGTCAAAGGTCTGGCCACGTGAAACTGGATCTCAACTGTCAGACAAAAACAAGCATCAACAGAAGCATAGAGAAAAAAACAGGCATGGACAAAATTGCACAAAAAAATCTGAATTCTGAGATAAATAGTCGCAATTACTTCTTTTTTTTTTTTTTTTTTTTTTTCGTGGCGTAAATAGGCTTTCATAGAAGAAGTGGCCCTTTTAAAAGCTCTCAAAGTTTTGATCATTTTCTTAGGGATGTCTGTAGAGCCTTCAAATAAAGTGGGTTTCAAATCAAAGATTATTCCCTCATGTAAAGGCTTGTGGTCTGGTATGTTTTGACAAAGTTCAATTGCTTTATTTGATGGAAAACCTGAAAAATTTGGAGTGGTACATTTCTATCTTTTAAGCTTCCATGCTTTTTAATGTAAATACTTCATATTTCATTAAATGAAGCTATTTTAATGAATTTTTAATTGGCCTAACTAAATGAAGAACTGCAGAATAAACTGGACAAATATGGAGTACAGTTTTAGTATTTGACCTTTTTCAACATCCAACAATAATCAGACATAACTGATCAGTCATAACTTTTGATCCGGGTGTTTCTTTAATCTGTTCTTATATCTGACCTTAAGGAAGTTTGTTCCCGCAATGAAAATATTGAAGAATTAAAGGAAATGTTCTAAGCACAGTTCATTCAATTAATAATATTTTATATGAGTTTCAGTAGATTTGTTGATTAGTTGGCTTCTTAGAAACAATAGGGCTAAATGGAGCTTATAAGCCCAATCGATAAAAATATTATATTTATAGATTATAATTACAGTCTGAGCATTAAAACTTTATATTGTTATTGCTTAAAATATTATAAGCAGCATACGCTGTCCACGCTAGCTAGGATGATTTTGATAGTTAGAAAACATTTTAACCAGTAATCTATATTAAAATAATTTCACTGCTAAAATGACAACTATACAGCTGAACTGCACCTTAAGTTTACCCCATTTACTCACTCTAATGTCGTTCTAAACCCGTAAGATTTTTGTTCATTTTCAAAATACTTGTGGAAATATTTTAATGAACTCTGAGAGATTTCTGTCCCTCCGTTGAAAGCTACCCAACTACCACTTTGACGCAAAGAACCAATGAGGTTCATTCTCGTGTTACGCAGCACGTTTAAGCTTCTGCAAGAACCAATGAGGTTCATTCTCGTGTTACGCATCACGTTTGAGCTTCTGCAAGAGCCAATGAGGTTCATTCTCGTGTTACGCAGCACGTTTGAGCTTCAGCAAGAGCCAATGAGGTTCATTCTCGTGGTACGCAGCACGTTTGAGCTTCTGCAAGAACCAATGAGGTTCATTCTCGTGTTACGCAGCACGTTTGAGCTTCAGCAAGAGCCAATGAGGTTCATTCTCGTGTTACGCATCACGTTTGAGCTTCAGCAAGAGCCAATGAGATTCATTCTCGTGTTACGCATCACGTTTGAGCTTCTGCAAGAGCCAATGAGATTCATTCTCGTGTTACGCATCACGTTTGAGCTTCTGCAAGAACCAATGAGGTTCATTCTCGTGTTACGCAGCACGTTTGAGCTTCTGCAAGAACCAATGAGGTTCATTCTCGTGTTACGCAGCACGTTTGAGCTTCAGCAAGAGCCAATGAGGTTCATTCTCGTGTTACGCATCACGTTTGAGCTTCAGCAAGAACCAATGAGGTTCATTCTCATGTTACGCAGCACGTTTGAGCTTCAGCAAGAGCCAATGAGGTTCATTCTCGTATTACGCATCACGTTTGAGCTTCTGCAAGAACCAATGAGGTTCATTCTCGTGTTACGCATCACGTTTGAGCTTCTGCAAGAGCCAATGAGGTTCATTCTCGTGGTACGCAGCACGTTTGAGCTTCAGCAAGAGCCAATGAGGTTCATTCTCGTGTTACGCATCACGTTTGAGCTTCTGCAAGAACCAATGAGGTTCATTCTCATGTTACGCAGCACGTTTGAGCTTCAGCAAGAGCCAATGAGGTTCATTCTCGTGTTACGCATCACGTTTGAGCTTCAGCAAGAACCAATGAGGTTCATTCTCATGTTACTCAGCACGTTTGAGCTTCAGCAAGAGCCAATGAGGTTCATTCTCGTGTTACGCATCACGTTTGAGCTTCAGCAAGAACCAATGAGGTTCATTCTCGTGTTACACATCACGTTTGAGCTTCAGCAAGAACCAATGAGGTTCATTCTCATGTTACTCAGCACGTTTGAGCTTCAGCAAGAGCCAATGAGGTTCATTCTCGTGTTACGCATCACGTTTGAGCTTCTGCAAGAACCAATGAGGTTCATTCTCGTGTTACGCATCACGTTTGAGCTTCAGCAAGAACCAATGAGATTCATTCTCGTGTTACGCATCACGTTTGAGCTTCAGCAAGAACCAATGAGGTTCATTCTCATGTTACTCAGCACGTTTGAGCTTCAGCAAGAGCCAATGAGGTTCATTCTCGTGTTACGCATCACGTTTGAGCTTCTGCAAGAACCAATGAGGTTCATTCTCGTGTTACGCATCACGTTTGAGCTTCTGCAAGAGCCAATGAGGTTCATTCTCGTGTTACGCATCACGTTTGAGCTTCAGCAAGAACCAATGAGGTTCATTCTCGTGTTACGCATCACGTTTGAGCTTCTGCAAGAACCAATGAGGTTCATTCTCGTGTTACGCATCACGTTTGAGCTTCAGAAAGAGCCAATGAGGTTCATTCTCGTGTTACGCAGCACGTTTGAGCTTCAGCCAGAACCAATGAGGTTCATTCTCGTGTTACGCATCACGTTTGAGCTTCTGCAAGAACCAATGAGGTTCATTCTCATGTTACGCAGCACGTTTGAGCTTCAGCAAGAGCCAATGAGGTTCATTCTCATGTTACGCAGCACGTTTGAGCTTCTGCAAGAACCAATGAGGTTCATTCTCATGTTACGCAGCACGTTTGAGCTTCTGCAAGAACCAATGAGGTTCATTCTCGTGTTATGCAGCACGTTTGAGCTTCTGCAAGAACCAATGAGGTTCATTCTCATGTTACGCAGCACGTTTGAGCTTCAGCAAGAACCAATGAGGTTCATTCTCATGTTACGCAGCACGTTTGAGCTTCTGCAAGAACCAATGAGGTTCATTCTCATGTTACGCAGCACGTTTGAGCTTCTGCAAGAACCAATGAGGTTCATTCTCGTGTTACGCATCACGTTTGAGCTTCTGCAAGAACCAATGAGGTTCATTCTCGTGTTACGCAGCACGTTTGAGCTTCTGCAAGAACCAATGAGGTTCATTCTCATGTTACGCAGCACGTTTGAGCTTCTGCAAGAATCAATGAGGTTCATTCTCGTGTTACGCATCACGTTTGAGCTTCTGCAAGAACCAATGAGGTTCATTCTCATGTTACGCAGCACGTTTGAGCTTCTGCAAGAACCAATGAGGTTCATTCTCATGTTACGCAGCACGTTTGAGCTTCTGCAAGAACCAATGAGGTTCATTCTCGTGTTACGCATCACGTTTGAGCTTCTGCAAGAACCAATGAGGTTCATTCTCGTGTTACGCATCACGTTTGAGCTTCTGCAAGAACCAATGAGGTTCATTCTCGTGTTACGCATCACGTTTGAGCTTCTGCAAGAGCCAATGAGGTTCATTCTCGTGTTACGCAGCACGTTTGAGCTTCTGCAAGAGCCAATGAGGTTCATTCTCGTGTTACGCATCACGTTTGAGCTTCAGCAAGAACTAATGAGGTTCATTCTCGTGTTACGCATCACGTTTGAGCTTCAGCAAGAGCCAATGAGGTTCATTCTCGTGTTACGCAGCACGTTTGAGCTTCAGCAAGAACCAATGAGGTTCATTCTCGTGTTACGCAGCACGTTTGAGCTTCAGCAAGAGCCAATGAGGTTCATTCTCATGTTACGCAGCACGTTTGAGCTTTAGCAAGAGCCAATGAGGTTCATTCTCGTGTTACGCAGCACGTTTGAGCTTCAGCAAGAGCCAATGAGGTTCATTCTCGTGTTACGCATCACGTTTGAGCTTCTGCAAGAACCAATGAGGTTCATTCTCGTGTTACGCATCACGTTTGAGCTTCAGCAAGAGCCAATGAGGTTCATTCTCGTGTTACGCATCACGTTTGAGCTTCTGCAAGAACCAATGAGGTTCATTCTCGTGTTACGCAGCACGTTTGAGCTTCAGCAAGAACCAATGAGGTTCATTCTCATGTTACGCAGCACGTTTGAGCTTCAGCAAGAACCAATGAGGTTCATTCTCATGTTGCGCAGCACGT